AGTATACATTTTTGTTTAGAGGCCAGCTGAAACCCGCCTCCGGGTGCGGGATTTTCTCGCTGTGTTGAAGACTCATTGGTGGCCTTGGGCTGTTTTCTGCTCTTTGGTTGGGTTGTTGTCTTTTTGATACATTCCCCGTTTCCATTCTCAATTTAATTAATGAGAGTTATTGTTATCATGCGTATTCATGGTATAGTTTCACAGAATAAAACGTTTACGGGCCTATCTATATATAGTGGAAACTCCTACAATTTTGTACTGCATATACAATGCACACGTTTTAATTTATATTATTATTTAATTAAGTTACACTATGTCCAGTCTCACTGTGAATGTGTAATGAATGCGTAGACACAGAAAGCATCAATTGCACATATGCTTCATCTTAAAGACGAACAAATGAAAGATAATTATTAAGGCACAGACCAAACCGTCTTTCATCTTCAGTGTATGGGTTTGTGTAAAGGGTAGGGGCATTAGTTTTTTTTTTCCTTGGAAACATATAATATATAGAAACGAGAATTTATTTTGAATTCTTTGTTTTCATTTCAAACAAACTATTTTTCCGTTTCCATTCTAAAAGAAATTGTTTTCTAGAAAATTAATTTAGAATAAAAAAAAATATGTAAGAACCTTTTGTCCCCATATTGAGGGAGTGACACGCTCTTTTGTGATGCGGAAAGTAGGTGGTAGAATAAAGTGGGGATGTGGGATCTGGAAACGAAGGAAAACGAGAGAAGTAGGAAAATTACAAAACAACGGGATTGATACACCATATCTTTTTTTCATTATGACCATTCGTAAGTTAATTTTTAGACAATTCAGAAACATTTTGTGTCGAATAAACATCGAATTATAGTTATTAAAGTCATAAACTGTAGACGTTGGCATAGCCCACATCTATAAGAAAGAAGTCAACAAAGAACTCAAAGCTTTTCAAACCATAAAAGAGGTATACAACGGGAAACAGGTACCAAAACAAATTTGAAGAGTCTTTTGTTGCAAGAGTTTCCAATTAATACATGCATATGTAGGTTAGGTGTCTAAATCCAGCGCTGGCGTTGGCCTTGAGAGTCCAAAGATACATCAAGATTGTAAAATGTTTTATCAACTGTGCACACATTGCATACTTAATAGCAAAAGTTTAAAGTCTAAATTTGACATCATTTGCTTACTGTATAATTTTTATGGAGAGTGAAATAATAACCATATACCAACATTTTTATTCGCACTGTAAGTTAGGGGTAAAACTTACAAAAAGTTGTGTGTTTACTTGTACAGGTGAATCATTTCGGAGATAGAGGTATATCCTTTAGACATTCAGATTTGTTTTACTTATGTTAGTACAGATGTATGTGAAGTTAGCGGCCGGTTCTTTATGTGTTATTCGTTATTAGTTATTCGACATTGCATATTAAAACCGGCTGCTAGCAGTCGGTTTGATATTCAAATTTTCTTAATTAAAAGTAATAATTAAAACATGATAGTCATAATTGATAGGAATGAAAAGAGATGTAGGAAATCGTTTTGTGACCCCATCAAGTTATTAAGAATTATCGTTGTCCTACAATATAAACCCATATGTAAATCTCAGTTTTCTCTTTATGACATATAGATTTCTATCAATGTAACTCAATAAAAGATGTACTTTTAAAAACATGACATTTCAATAAACAAGCGGACAATATAGTAAAATTTCAAAAAAGAAATAGATGTTACTATGGAAAGCCGAAAAGAGAAGATATTTTTGATTGACTTGATATTCAAAAACTATTTAGGTAAAAGGGACAAGGGTGTTGGCTAGACTTTCATAATCTCAATCTTCATAATAGTATGCCTATATATAGCTTCTTTATAGAAACAAATGATAACAAAAGTAATTTGGGGGAAACGTCTTGCCTTCTATGTTAATGGAGGGCTCAAAATTCCAGTTTGATATTCAAAATATATATTAAAAGACAACTGCATACCGCTTAAATGACGGCGATATCCCCCTTGTATTTCTATGTCCTTAAAACATAAAAATTATTAAGACTATATATAGATACATATTCTATCAAAAGGATTTCCCAGAAACATTTCTTCTTCCGTATGTACGTAGGGCTTAAAGTGTCACTTTTCAATTAAAATCGTAAAAAATTCAGGTAAATAGACACAGAGCGTTGGCTAGATCTTCCTGCTCTCTCAATCTTTGTGGAAACTTCTTGTCTTTTATGTCTACGAAGGGTGTAAAGTGCAAGTTTGATATTCAAAACATATAGTGAAAGACAAACGGAGACCGCTTAAATGACCATGAAATTGTGCTGCTCTTTGGATTTTATCTAATATTCAAATACGCGTCTGGGGAACAAAATTTTAATCCTGGTATCTATGATGAATTTCCAACTTTCCAAATCTGTCACAAAAAATTGAAAATTGAAAATGGTAGTATCATGCACATTCACTATTATAGTATTTAATAAAATTTATTAAAATAAAAGACAAATATTTGAAGAAAATAAGACTGTCTGTCAAAATGGCTTAAAATTATGATCAGTATCTGCGAAAATTCAAAGTTTATACAAACTACAGAGGTCAGATTTCTCAACAATATTACATTAACATAACAAACATGAACACTTTCATAAACGAATAAATTACTATTCTCTGAACATTTTCGTTTTATATCACTGTCTCCTAACGTCATCTTGCAGTGATAAACCATTATAATGAAATAAATGTTTTTTTCATAATTCAATAATTCTAATCGCGATTGGTCGAGTACCGTTTTGATGATCGTGAAACATGATATTTTGATATTAGGTTCCGCTTATTTTGGTTGCCAAGATACTTGAAAGTAATGAAATCGTTGTGTAATTATCTAATGAGTATTTTCATCCAGAACACAGTCTGATGACATATTGTTATGTGCGATTTATCTTTTTATCAGCATTAGTCAACACTTTTTGTCCAGCTTAGTTCTCGGAATTGAATGAACCTACCAGATGGAACCTTACTAAAATATTACCAGCATGTGTTGGTGTGTATTAGAATTTGGAATTTCAAATATGTCTGCTTGAATAGGAAAAATAAGATAACATGTAAGCAGTTTAATTTCAGTTCAGAACCTGAATTCATTTCCGTATAATTTGACATCATATATTTAACTTGCCAATCTTTAATAAGATGTTGACAACGTTTTTTGGTATTTTAATATTTTTTCTAATATTTTCATATGAGTTCGCTTTCATTCTGTATTTTCAACTAGGTAAATAAAAACATTGAAAACATGAAATATGTTATCGCAATGATTTTGAGGACAATTCTCAAATTTTATCCTGTTATTGTATTCCGAATAGATGTCTCATCTGCGACTATATCATTTTTGAACGATCTAAAAGGTTTAAAATGTTGCCTGAAAAGCAAATGCCTTGGAAACAGTCAACCGTCGTTACAAATAATTTGAAAACAACACAACATGAGTTTGTGTATCTTTTTATTTACTCTACAGTTTTGTCTTTTGTTATATGCGTGCTATTGTGTATCTTTTGTTCGTGTGACTTTTGGCATGACGGTATTTATGCGTCTAGCTGTCACGTTTTGTTTCTTGGGGCGTTCCTGGTGTGAGTGGGTCCTGGGGTGCGGTTTGGACACCGGAGATCCATTCTGTTTTCTCTTCTATTATATTTTACTTTAGTTGTGCTTTATCGAATAGGTGTGTGATATGTGTGGTGTGTACTATCAATTACAAGGGTTTTTTTGTCGACGTATTTTTCAACTAAAAAAAAAACGTGTTTGTTGAACTGTAGACGTCATTGTCTAATTAACCTAAACTTAATTTTTTTTGTTGGCGTCTTTGTCAGATTTATGTGTATGTGTGTTTGAATTTTTAATCAGTTGTGTTGAATGTCTGTGATTTATGTAAGATTACTTTGTATGCTTGTTTGAATTTTTAGTCAGTTTCATTGTATGTCTGTGATGTAAGTTTATAGTTTTGGCTGCTGGATCCCAATTAATGTCACATTGACCTATTATGTCTGTTTGGGTTGCTCATCCAATTATGTCAATATGACGGAGCTATACACAACAGTCATACAAGTGGGAGGTTTATATAGCTACAAAACCAGGTTCAACCCACTATTTTTTTCGGAAAATTCCTGTATCAAGTCAGGATTATGACAGGTGTTTTCCACTCGTTTCATTGGTGGATAATATTGATTTTGTCAGTTTTTATGAATTTCCCTCTTTTTATATTTTTTCCTGTAGTAGCAAATTTGATGTGCAAGTGCAGTTAAGTAGATTTCTTATTTCTAGTCTTGTGATAACATTTTGTAAGCTCGACGTCGACATAAACAAAAATTGTAACAACGGAACATCGGACGTTTATTTTTTTGCGTTTACAGTGATCTCTTCTGAAACTGTATCGACTTCCTTTAAAAGGCCACACATTGGCTTAATAAAAACGATGGGAACATTGAATGATACGATATAAGAGAGTCCGGTCTTTATTTTACTAGACTTATGCACGAGCTGAATGTCCACGTTCAAGCTGAAATATATTAAACATATCACAATACCAAGGCATATCACAATACCAGGACATATCACAATACCAGGGCATATAATAATACTTATTCAGTGATAGGTAATGTGATAGGTAGTGTTTGCTATTCCCCCTTCGCGCAACTGCCAATGCATTAAGCATAAGATATACATAAAAGACATGCCATTGTGATTTTTTTCGTTGTTTTTTTTTTGTTGTTGACAAGATTCGCTCCTGGTAGCCTTATCACCATGGAAAGCTATCATCTCCTGTAAAGTGAAAAGGTATTAATATGTAATTACCACTGGACAGTTGGCAAGGAACATTAAATCAATTAAAATGTGTATCGGTATGTATCAAAACATATATGATGTCTATTTGTCCCCTGCGAATGATCAAGGGAGTACTATGTTTATGAAACAAAAACTATAATTATTACTTTCCAATATTTTATGTGTAGTGTTGAAACTATGTGACGGTCTATTGCACAAGTACATAAACGAATAAAAAAACATGCTTTTAATTTTTATTAAGTGAAATTTCGGTTGAATTAATTAAAATTATATCAAAAGCTAAAAATATAAAATGTTCTGCTTATTAGATATGTTCATTCTTTTTTCCTTTTACGATCAGAATAAGGCGTTGTTTAGTATTATGGGATCAGTTTTGATTAGAAATTTACATAAACTGTTGACACACAGATATGTCTTGCCTTTATTTAATTTTGATAGTATAATTAGTTATCAAAGGTACCAGGATTATAATTTAATACGCCAGACGCGCGTTTCGTCTACATAAGACTCATCAGTGACGCTCAGATCAAAATAGTTATAAAGCCAAACAAGTACAAAGTTGAAGAGCACTGAGGACCCAAAATCCCAAAAAGTTGTGCCAAATACGGCTAAGGTAATCTATTCCTGGGATAAGAAAATCCTTAGTTTTCCGAAAAAAATCAAAGTTTTGTAACAGGAATTTTATAAAAATGACCGTATAATTGATATTCATGTCAAACACCGAAGTGCTGACTACTGGGCTGGTGATATCCTCGGGGACGAAACGTCCACCAGCAGCGGCATCGACCCAGTGGTGTAAATAGTTATCAAAGGTACCTTCAATGTGACCTTATCAAAATGTTAACTTGTGAATTAGGAAAAAGTTTTTAAAAAATCAATGGACCATGACTTTGGGGGTGGCTTAATAATCTTTATGGAGATGAAATGTGCCAATGCTTATACAACTGCATACCACATTTCATTATATACCACTAATGGTTCTGCATAAACTGACCTAATCACAAACTAAAACATTTTTGAAGTCAGGAATCTGTTCAGTAGTTGTCGTTTGTTGATGTGGTTCATAAGTGTTTCTCGTTTCTCGTTTTTTATATAGATTAAACCGTTGGTTTTCCCGTTTGAATTGTTTTACACTAGTAATTTTTTGGGGCCCTTTATAGCTTACTGTTCGGTGTGAGCCAAGGCTCCGTGTTGAAGACCGTACTGTGACCTATAATGGTTTACTTTTATAAATGTTGACTTGGATGGAGAGTTGTCTCATTGGCACTCATACCACATCTTCTTATATCTATTGACGCCGCTAGAAACAGCACGTCTCCGTCTCACTTTGTTACTTTGTCGAGGCAGTTAAAAACTACTTCTATCAAATACAATCTGAACCATTTGAAGGCAATAAATAGTTCCTTTATACGCCGTAGCGGTACTATATAAAATACAAAATTTGGTATAATGGCTAACATAACATAGTAAAGCATGAGTAGTGTAAATCTGTTAAATTCAAAGATGTATATATCCCAAATGCATCCTCCCAAGATCTTTTCTTGTTCCTCAAAACTGTCCAACATGACGTGTTATTGCCTGAAAAAAACACCATAACGGTCATAATGAATACAATTAGAGTATTGGCAACTGAACTGATGATTGTACTTATTTTTCCATTTACACCAAAACACTCGAAATATTATAATGAAATTAAAATAAAGGTAAAACTGTATCAATTCGAAAAAAGTTTTGTAATCACGATTTTCAAATGCCAGATAATATAAGCGTTTGTTGCTCGTTTCTGAATCTATTTGCCAGAATTTGATTTATATTGTGTAATATGTATTTAATTTCATAGTAATATATTGTTTACACTAAATAAAAGATGCAAAATTCCATTTAATAATAGGATACCGAAGTACTTATTTTTCACCATAAGTCCACAATTTGATAACGAAAGCCATTGGCCCCTTCAAATAGTCTATGTACAAATTTATATTAGTTCTTTGCAAATGCAATGAATAAAACCTTTGATTCAGCGCGATTCGAACCCCTTGTAGGCAATTTAAACTGAAAACCGTAAAAGCTAGCTTATTAAAAAAACGTTTACAGAAATATTATTATGTTGGTATAAAGAACCATCCTATAGAACATTTAATGACCACACTTAAAACAAATATTCTATAAGTCGTGTCAGTATGTCTATGGAGCTCTGACTATAGACCTGATTATATCATCGGGGACCAACAGTATTTGAACAACTAAATTCAATTTTCAAAAAATGTTTTCTTTATGCATGACATAAGGGTTTAAGGTACCAGATGAATCATTTGAATATACTTTCTGTATTCGATAATATATAATCTTAAAAAGAAAAAAATGAAAAATATATAGTTGATTGGTCTAATTTTGAGGCAGTTTAAGAATAAAAGGATACTTAAGTTTAACATTATAATTCACTGAGAACTCAAAGTATCACGGTTCTGTAAATGAAAAACTTGAAGATGGAATTAAAAATACAAAAAACTTGTCAATACGATACATCTCCCTTAGAAAAAATACTGTGTACTTGCCATTATTAGGGATCTTGTACAAGTTGTACGCCTTCAGAACGTAAATACTTACTGCCCTAAACATTATATTTTACTTATTAATTTTAATTCATTAACACCAATAGTAAACGTAAGAGCACGCCAACCGATAGCCATAATTTAAAACACAATTTTCAGGATGACTTATAGAAAATAAGGACATGAAAACAACAGTTCACAAAGCATTACACGTAACACACAATATTTACCCACTCTAGTTCCAACAACGATTGTAAATAAATAAGATGTTTTGAAAAGGGATACTAATAATAGAATTGAGAATGGAAATGGGGAATGTGTCAAAGAGACAACAACCCGACCATAAGTCTTTAAACGCCATTACAACTCCTATACCCAGCATATTTCGACATCAATCAATGGTGAGGCAAACATTTATCAAATGGATTACTAAAATCTCTTTTTTGATTCTGTACACATTAAGAAGTGTCTACATTTCATTTATCGCTCTCAGAATGTCCATTTCCAAAATAATAACAGTAAAATCGTTACCTTTAGGAAAGAATATAAAGTTTGTTAAAGGTTATGAATTTAAATATTACCTGTAAATCCATCTTCTGTTATATATTCTGCAGTAGAATTGATAATAACTGACAAAAATAAGTAATTTATAAAAAAAAATCGATCCATAAATTAATACCGAATATTTTTTAAAGAAGTCATGAACTAAATACAATGTAATTATATAAGATACTATTATACCTCAGTATGTTTTTTCTATATACAATGAGTGAAATATTTGTGCTATTGCATTCCACAGACTATTTGCCAGTCAATAGTTTCAAAGACTATTACCCCGGTCAATATTTTTATTATCATATTTCTTGTACTTTTTCATATTAATTTTTCAATTGACTATTCTGCTTTGATTCATGCGCTTGGCAACGTTAAACTCTGAAATATTGTAAACGGTATCATCTGTATGTGTCTGTCGTCGTAACTATTACTCGAGGTGAAGGTGTATAATATTTATACCTAGAAAATATAACATATATCTATGAATTTGGTAAGTTATCCTTAATTACAGTTTTACCCTTTAGATCGACTTTTGTCGGGTTTCTTATCATCTTGAAACTATATACTATAAATATAGAGAGTATGACGAATGTTTAACGTCCAATCAATTAAACATGTATACAAGGAACTGATACGATAAGTCTGATTTCTAACATGCTAGTTAACAAGGTAACAGTCCGCAGAAAGACATGTCACCCTACTTCTTTCTCTTGGATGCCTCGTGTTTAGCAGAGTAACAGCCAATACCAATCAAGTCTTTGTGGAGAGTTGTCTCATTGACCACGATACATCTGAGTCCGTTTTTTTCCACCCTTTTTTATAAACAATATATAATGTTGCCAGCTACATTTTCAACTGAATAAAATATTCAATATATTTGTTTTTTAAATCTCATTTAGGCATCATTTGTATAAGCAAGCTTTTAGTTATTTCGTATTAATGGATCAACTGTTTGGAGAAATAGTCAATCAAAATTATCTCGCCATTGAAATTTGTCAGCTCTATTTCTAATAAAATGCACTTGTCTTGTAAATTGTACAAACATGACAAAGTTATTGCATTCAAGAGCGTCTTTACACTTTAAATGCATCGAAATGAAATGACAAAATTTACAGTAATGAAATCCAATGCATTTCGAAATTATGAATATACTATCTAAGTTCCCGTTATGGCAGATTTCCAAGGAACAGTTGTATTCCTAGATATACATAAAACAAGAGTGCAAATGCCTATCAATCTCGACTGGTATACTTATAACGACTGACTACGATATGGACCTTATCACGAAAAATAGAAACATTAACAATGAAAAGAGGTCGTTAGGTCAGATTAACTTTATCTGATGCTCATGTTTGCTTTGCAATGATTCTAAATACCCAATCCAATTGTCCTACTTTTCAGAATAACACAAAAATGTCAAAGTTTTTAAGACATTACCTTCACACAAGAAACGAAGTCAAGGATAATAGCAATAGCATAGACGGAAACTTTTGACTATTAGGCGTTTGTTAACAGTATACGGGTTATCCATCTTTTATAGAAGGAACGCGCGTCTGGCGTACACAATTTTAATCCTGGTATCTATGATGAGTTTTGCTATATTCTTCAATACAACGCTTTATACAAAATTTGCCATTGCCACCACAGAATGACAACCCATATGTCTCGCATTTAGTAACATTTTTTTTTGTATACGAGGCAAAACTTCATTGGACAATCGCTCTAAAAATATCTATTTCCCGGTGATCCATATAAATTCATTAATTTGATAAACCAACTGACACGTCTGTAAATGAATAGCGATAGTTAATATTACCTCAAATTCAGCCTCTGACATTGATTCTACAATAGAATTGTTTACAAATGACAACAACAAAGTGCTAATAAACACATGTACAATACATGCATAGCTTATTAAAACAGCTTATGTCTTTGCTACAATACACAACACGAGACAATTACATTTTCATATTTTTACTCCAGTTTTCTAACACAAATTTATTGATACTAAGCAGTTGAGCATTTAGCAAATATTTCAAACTATCAAAAAATTGAAAACTCTTACGCTTTGTCTACAAAATAAAAATGAAAAGGTATGCAGAACTTTTTCATTTTGTTTATATGATGAACAGGAAAAATATGGTGCGTTACGTACAATACTCAATAGAGGTAAATTAAGTGCTTTTTAAATGGAAAGGTCGGTCATTATCGAGGTAAAGCGATAAATTTATTTCATAATCTATTTTGTTTTTGATTTGTTATCCAAAGAACATTTTAATATTCAAAACAAAATGATCTTTTATAGGTGATCTGAACATCGGTAAACTACCATTGCCTTAATATATTTTCTCGTAGCAAGCATGAGATGTAATACGCTTTTTGTCAGCCTTTGCATAGCTGTTGTTAATTTTTTTTTTAAGTTTAAATGGTTTTGAACTATAAACAAGATAAAACAAATCAAACAAAAATGAAAAAAACGAAATTTTATATTTCAGTCAAACTTTTTTCAATAGCGATCTTTAACTTTAGAAATAAAAAAACTACTCGGATACTTTTCATTTCATTAAACAATTTCAAACATTTGAAAATGCCCCAAAAAGGGCATTGATATAATGTGGAAAAATCAGAAAATTATAGATTACCCGAAATTGACCATTTTCTATATTTATCTTGAAAATTACAAATTCAAAACACTCAGGAGAAAATTTACTTTTTGGTTAAAAACTGAAATAAGTTATGTAATGTTTATCAAAGGAAAATTCAATTTGTAAAAGAAACGAAAGTGCTAAAATGTTAGTCCGTGTATACTTACGCCAAACATACTTCATTCTTTTTGTTGAAATTGAAAACTTAGAATTGCTAAATAATGTTAAGCTTGTTTTTGTCTTGGAAAAAATGCCAAATAGAACAATACTAAACTTTTCTTATATCATATTTTTCGGGAAGTTTGCAAAATCGAATGTCGACCAGTTATATTTGCTTGATTAGAAAAAAGAGGTCAAATGGTTCTTGATGTTAAACTATTTCATGTTTTAACATTGATAAAAAAATAAAATAAAAAAGGGTAAATAATACAAAACATTAGTATTTCTATAGAAAATACAAATTCAAACAATACACATGTTCTCTCACTTAATTATTTGAAATTTGGTGGTGACTATCTTGAACGCATCTATCCCATCGAACTTGAGATAAAGGATACCTTAGATACAGTTAAGTCTGCCTCATATCTTGACTTACAGCTAGAAATTGACAATGAGGTGACAAAACTTTATGACAAAAGAGATGATTTCAACTTCCTAATTGTGAACTTTCCATGTTTATGTAGCAACATTCCAGCAGCGTCTGCATACGGAGTATATGTCTCCTAGTTGAAAGGATACTTCAGGGTATGTATTTCCTATCATGATTTCCTTGATAGAGGATTGCTGCTCACAAGGAAGCTATTAAATCAAGAGTTCCAAGTGGTGAAGTTGAAATCATCCCTTCGTAAATTTTACGGACGCCATCACGAGTTTTTTTACCGTTACGGAATATCCGTTTCACAAATGATAGCGGATATGTTCCTAATGTCGTAACTACAATCCCGTTCCTTTTTCCCGAATGTGACCTACCGAATTAGAATTTTTACCGGGTTTGTACTAACATGAGCAACACGGCGGGTGCCACATGTTGAGCAGGATTTGCCTACCCTTCCGGAGCACCTGAGATCACCCCCTGTTTTTGGTGGGGTTCGTGTTGATCAGTCTTTAATTTTCTATGTTGTGTTTTGTGTACTATTGTTTGTCTGTTGGTTCTTTTTCTTTTTTAGCCATGGCGTTGTCAATTCATTTTCGACTTATGAGTTTGTATGTCCCTTTTGTATCTTTCGCCTCTCTTTTGAATTAAATCCCTTACCATATAACATTTTGAATCTCTGTTATGAATAGAAATTTGAATTGTTTTCATATTGATCTTTTAAGAAAAGGGTATTTTCGGGTTTTATGATTTATGATGAAGGCTATTGCCCAAGTTGATAGCATCGCTTTGTTGGCAAAGGAAAATTTGAGAAAAGTTCTTTTCTCCTTTTAATCTTTTAAAGTCTGTACAACTGCTTCATATTCATTTTCTTAATCTTCCCGTTTTTATTAAATTTAATTATTTTTCTATTTTTATTTTTTCCATTTTTTTTCGAAAACTTGAAATAACTGAGCATATTTAAATTTTCAATTTCGACAACCAAATGAAAGTAAGCCTATGTTGTTTTTCATTAAAATCCTTTCAAACAGATCTTTTTCAAAATCTCGTTACTACTTTTTTACCAAAATTGTGGTATCGGGAATCAATTTGAAATGCATGCTGTACTTATCATTTCAAATTTGGTCGCAAAATTTTTTCGAAATTTGTTATTATTTTTTAGAAAGAAATAAAGTTTTAATTCCATATTTCACACCGAGAATCATTTTGGAATAGCATATTATACCAGTTTATCGATTTCGTTCCTAGCAGGTTTCGCAAAAATGCATGTGATTTATTTAACAAAAATTATTTTAGCATTACCATTTAATGTTAAATAGCGTATTGTACCTTAAAGTCAATGTCAATCCCAAGAAATAAATTATCACAAAAGTTTTGAAATTCAGAATCAATTGTGAATAGCGGATCATAATTTATACTTATCGATTTTTGAAGAAAAAGGAGCAAAAAAGGATGTTTCTCAAAATTTGTGGAATTCTTTTTTGGAAATCTAAGAGTTTACGTCAAAACCCCTCAAATATATTATCAACAAACGTTGACATCGGGAATACATTTTCAATTACAAATCATAACCTATATAATATCAATTTTTGTCAAATTCTAGCCCAAAAATGTTTTTCATGCATGACTCTTTTTTATCAGAAAGTCATCACAAAATATAAAAACCATCGAGTCATGTCAATTCTGTAGCTCTTAAACATGACAGAAAGCAAAAGTAGGAAATAAAAAATAGGGTTTTCCAGGAAAAAATGATTAAAAAGGCTTTAATCGGTAAAGACAAGGAGACGTAAAAAAACGACAAAAGTCGGAGTGCTTTATTTTTTAAGTTTGGCTTTTCCATTAGGTTGACTTATTTTTGTCATTAAAAGTGATAATGTTTTGTCTCACTTATAAACCTGCAAATCGTTTTATATGTTGTTTGAATTTGTCGAAATCTTCTTTTATGCCCTTATACTGTTAAATGTTTGGAGGGGCAAATTATCCAGTTTGTCTTTCACCGTCTTATCGTTAATTTCACCTTATTCGTTATTAATGTTTCTAAAAAGACAAGGTACACTGTTTGACTTCCTGAATTGAAGAATTACATATTAATTCATATTTATTCGATACAATATGTTGTGTGTAAGTCCTTAAAACGTCAGTCATAACATCGTTAAATTCTATCTTGAAGTTCATACTTGTCTTTAGCCTTCAAATGGGTTCATGATTACGAGGCAAAGGACCCAAATCGATCCTTACTTGAGATGCATTATTTCAAATGAAAGGTTTTACAAGTTGACGCATACATATGAAAAGGAAATCAAACGATATTTTCAAGTATTTTTTATATACAACCTTAATTGTACAAAGTAGAGATTTTGGGAAAATTTATAAGGTTTTTGATTTCAGCCATATTCAGGCGTTGAAAAATAAGGCGACACGCTCGACAAATTTAGGTTCAATTTAGGAAGATTATTTGATTTAAACAATATAACATGTATAAGGTTAAACGGTTTTTTGTATTGCTGCATGTGCTACATATTCTCCGATCTTTAAATGGTAGGACAATATTCTGCTTTCAATGATAACGGCGACAATCAAAATATGTTTTTCAATTTTGAAGAATCTTCTGCTTTCATTGTTAATGACCATCCCAAAAATTACATTTACATTACTTATGTATGTCAATTTTTGACTGAAATATAATTTCAGATAAGACTATTGAATATGGATTCGATAGTTGTCTAATATGACACGCTATGACATTAAAATGACATACGATAACATGTCTTCACTTATTTTATCCAATTATTTTAACTCATACAGTTTACACAAATAGTATGAACTTAAATCACTATTCATGAAAAAATTAGGAATATACTTACCAGAACCACTGTCCCCTGGACTAGCTGTTGTAATAAATATTGAAACAATTTATTAAAAGTATTATATATTTCCAACAAACCAACCAACTTAACTTGTTTTAATGAGGTTTAAAAACAAACGGTAGTAATGGGTATGTTTAACCTTTTCCCAAAATAAATGAAATTATCCTGTTTTCATTGATTAATGAGGGACATTGAAATATCTGCTATAACTTTAACGTCCTCAAGAAAACTCCTAAAACTTTAATTTGATATTGGATAGCCTTATCAAACCTTCTTCTTTCGTGAGCATGTGGTTTCCCATTGAAGCAGACAGGGGTCTACATTAGAATCAATAGAAGATTTAATATTTTGCCAAAACAAAGTTATTATCACACTATTGTCAAGCATATGATAAAAGATGTTGATCCAAGGAACTCGATCTTTTTCAAATTGTCAACTTTTGTTAGATTATATTTTGTTTTAATAGAAAGTAAATTAAACGAAATTTTTTTTTTCAAAACTACGGGCGAAAAACTTTGTTGTTTCAAAAAGAATAAGTTAAGTAAAGAAGACAAAACATGTTAGATAGAGATATAAATATCTGCAAAGTAGAAAGGGTACTTAAATTACTTAAACAGAACAAATCATCTGGCGAAGATGGTATAATAACAGAATTTTATATTTTATACTGGGACATAATAAAAGACGATTCTTTAGTTTACTACAAGAAATTTTGAATGATACCTTATTGAGTAATTCTCAACATAAGGGGGTCTTAACCTTACTACATTAAAGAGGAGAAAGGAAAAATATAAAAAAAAAAATGGAGACCACTTACTTTTCTACATTGTGATTGTAAAATTATTACAAAATTCTATCTGAAAGACTAAAGATAGTTTTACCATAAATTATTCATACAGATCAGAAAGGTTTTGTTAAAGGTAGAAATATCAGCTGGAATGCGATTGGCAAGTATTGGCTACGGATATTTGATGAAAAATATAATGATACCTTTTTTGTATGTAAATGTTCAAGTTTGAATGGTTTAGATATGAACCAATTATCACAATTTTATCAGAAAATTATAAACACTTGGTCAGGTTTCATTCAAAATACTGATAAATCATTAAATAAAAGAGATGTTTTATATACGAGAATATTTGGGAACATTTCTGTTTTGTTCAAAAATAAACCATTTTTATACCCTTTTTGTATTAAAAGCGATATCAAAAGTATTAAGAACATTTGGAATTCAGAAACTACTGATTTTATTAGCTGCAATGACATTTTTATAGGGAATTATTGATCGGAGAAATTATATTTTCGAATTTACTAAAATTAAACATGCAATTCCTAAAGATTTCGTGCAATTTTGAAATCTTGCGGAAACCAGATTTTGCATAATGAAATGAAATTAAAGATATCAAATGACCTTGAGATTATGAACTTATATAACCGAATAATAAAACCATCAAAGCTAAAACTCAAATATATTCATGCGTAATTTAATAAAGACGTATCTAAAGAATGTCAAATTAAGTGGGAGGAAATGTTTGGAAACAATTTACTTTGGGAAAATTAGTGGTCGGGATTAAAACAGTTGATAATTGAAAATAAGCAAAAGAATTTCAATGGAGATACATGCACAATATTTTATATATTGAAGAAAGATTACAAAAAATTGAACTATCAAATGGAAACTGCATGCCACATTTGTCAAAATGACAACAACATAGAAACCCTCCAACACTTATTTTTTAGTTGTAGTACATCAATGTTAATTTTAAGCAAGCTTCAAGAAATACTTATCCAATCAAACATAGGAATAAATAATCCTATTGCTGAAAATTACATGCTGTTAGGTATAAACACAGGAATACTCAAATATGATAATTGTCTAAACACAATTATTACATATTCTAAATGGACTCCAAATAAAATAAACAAAACGCCTGTAGCACCTCAAGATATTTATAATATCTGGAAATATAACTTAAAAATTAATCTAAAGATGTTTCTTCAATTAAAATGCATTGACATCATCGATAAGACAAAATTGAAGTCAGTGATAATGAAAATTTAGACAATAAATATAATATTAACTTTTAGACAAAGTTAAATTTGTTATGGTTTATTGTATAAGACTATAGATTATAAAAACGATATAAAAGTGTTAGCCTATTATGTGTGTTGTGGTAAATGCATATTTTTGTGTGGTTTTCTTATTGATTACTTACTATGTTGAAGTTAAGGTATAGAGTTAGATGCGTCTAACATGATATGGATATATTTTTGAAACTAATTGTAAATCCAAGGTAAAAAGTGGACTACATTTTTAGCATTCTATCACCCCTGGATAGATAGTTCATTTTGTAAACAGGGACCCTTAGCCTGTTGCCTGGACGACTAAGGTAATTGTATACAGGAAATATTTAGGAACAAAACGTTGATAAGTGTTTAAAATAAAAGCAAGAAAGAAAGTTTTTTTGTTGTTTTTTTTTTTATTTAATTATATAAAACTAGCTATTTTGATATGCTTTCAGCAAATTAAAAGACTATTTTGGATCACGGAACTTGATCTCCCCTTACAAAACAAAATAAGTAAATTTACTTTGCATTTCTTTTTTAAAATAAGTTCATCTTAGTTTTTTCCCCTTATCAACAATGCTTATATAGCTGAGTTGACAAAACAATTGTATCAAACAAATATAATCAGTTTTTGTACTAACAGTCATAATAATCAAACAAAAGAAAATGAAAGGATATGGAGTAAATGTACATGGGACAAAATCGCACACAATACATAGAAAACATAGAAAATTATCAATGAACAGGGCTTTTATTCCTGTTCTTCATCTTGACGGTGGATGTAGGGTCTTCAACAATGAACGAATCATTCATACCCTACAACAAGGTCAAGACGGCCCCTAGCGTTGACTTAAGCGGTACTATTGGTAAAAATAAACCACAGTTCACCTTCTTGCTCCCCACCCGCCTCGGAGTGCCAACTTGTGCGATGCTTGTGTACGAGGGTTCTCCAGTCGAAAGCAGCAGAGATACAAGAAAAGTGCAGTAAGTTTGAAAGACATCGATCGCCGCTAAAATATGCATTGAAGTTACACATGTCGGGAGCGGTCAATGAATTACATAATTTATAATTACGGGCGAAAGTTTACAACATATATTTGTCAAACATTGCCCAACAAAAGACCAATAATTTCGAAACAACAAATGATAGACAATACATATAAAACTAAACAACAAATGATAGACAGCACGGGGCACATCGAAATATATGTAAGAAAACCTAGCAACATATATTTTTTTCATTTAGATAACAATTTTTAGAATTTTCGTTTTCTAATGACATGGCCCCCCCAACAGTTTGATTAGATCAAATGTATAAATTATCGGATGTCCTGCTCAATCATATTGTAAAATATCAGCTGCAAGCAACAATGTGAAGCATGTTGGCTAGTAAGCGCTGCAAGCAGGCCAACAAACTTCAAAGTATGTTGAACGGCTTATATATGAATACGCATAAAAATTGATAATATGTTTATCGTAAGATTTATAATGTCGCCTTATAAATTATAACGTCGCCGATAACTTCTCCTAAGGCGTTTTGACGTCGTTGATAAGTTCTGCTCATGTCTCACAGCTGTCATATCAAAATTACGGATTGACTAGGCGGGGAGATATAGGGTAAGGGAAGGACGTGTATTTGTCCTACGTATTTTCTATCTAACCTTCAATTTACTTTTATTTAAGAAAATCTGTCAAACCTGTCTAACTTTCAAATATGTCTTTAATAATTTAATGACTGCAACAGTCTTACATAATATGATATTTGCAACAGAATTTACAATCAACGTTCCATTGTGAGTATCATTTTTGTATGTTGATGCTCAGAATAAGAACATTAACTATGTTTCGGTTTTTTTTCTAATTGTAACATCTCGGTTGTCTCTCCTTATATAGCTGAACTGGCAAAATAATTGATATAAAAAAAAAGTAATTTTTTTGGTCAAAACAGTCTTAATGATAAGATTAATCAAATGATTTTTCTTCATTTAGATTACAACTTTAGAAATTCGGTTAAACGTGCTCGTCAGTTTTCTGTTTAATCTGGCCTTCCAACTGTTTGATCGAAGCGCCACGGATAAGACTTATGGAGTTGAAACGTTCGTCTGGCGTACAATATAATCAACCTGGTATCTTTGATGAGATTTTACAACCATATGCCAATAATGATGGATGGTTCGGTGTTTTTAGGGAATCATGTGCACTAGCTCAGTCCAATTGACACTTTCAACTTTTTTGCATTAAGGAAAGCAGCAAAATCTGTCAAAACTGTCTAATTTTTAAATATTTCTTTGATAATTGAGTTACAGCAATAGCCTTACACAATATGATATTTGGAAAGAAATGTGTAATCAAAGTGTCTTAGTTAGTATCATATGTGTAATGTTAATGCTCAAATTTTATTTTTCAAAACATGCCATGTTATACGTTATACCATTACAATGACATCACAAAGAACGTTTTTCTAAATAAAAATGTCCAAACTACATCAAACTATTATTTTTCCTTCAATATTAACATAAGACTTAGCATGAATTGAAATAGTAAGGATTTTGTATTTATAATTATCTATAATAGCAGGTGCAAAATAATGAAATATTCTCCCTTTAGACTAACTAATGACGGAAAAGTTTACCTTTTCATTTAAGGTATTGGCATACATTTGTTTTGTACTCACCACGACCAGGCATTGATACATTTCTTTTTCTGTTCGCTATTGAAACAATAACATAATTAGGTATTAAAACATAACAACTCCAACATATCGTGTATCTGGATTCAACATTTGTTTATTATCTATTATTTTTGTCCTATTCAGTTAAAAAATAAAGGGTAACCGACATTATATAATAGTATATTGAATCATTTAAATTATAATTCATATAGAAATATAATGTTATCCAATCTACATGTTGTGAACAATTGTCAGCTTTTGTATTGATTATAGGAGAGAGAAAACAAATTATTGGTTGAAAAGAAAGAAAACTATACGATATATTTATAAAATATACTATGTAAAAATAACTATTATAATGAGTTGTTTGCAAACAAAAAGAAAAATTTAGATCACGGACCTTGGTTTCTTGTTACAAAAAAATAGGTAAATTTAGTATGCATCCCTTTATCAAATTATATCATCTTAGCTATTTCCCCTGATATACACTGAAGCAGATTGAATAATGTTTGGATCAAATAACAAATATTCAGCTCTGATAACACCAGTCGTAATAATAACATAAAACAATATTGATTTTGTTGGCTTCAACATTGTATATGATCTGACCTTTCATCTGTTTTGATCCGAGTGCCACTGATGAGACGAAACGCGCATCTGCTGCACCAACTTATCAACATGGTATCTTTGGTGACTTTTTGAAAACCAGATGGCTGATGCGACTGCTGATGGAGGTTTTGGTCATAAGGGAATCACCAGCCCGCTAATGGTAAATTCTGTGTTGCATGTTCAATTAATCAAAACATTAATATTGTTCTACTCTTATGCATTAATTACCTAAGCTGTTAAAGCCCAAATTTTCAGATTTTCGGTTTTTAATGATCATCCAATTTTTGTACTGTTTTGATCCGAATGTCACTGGTGAGTATTATGAAGACGATACGCTCATCTGGCATACCAAATGTTAAGAATTGTATCTTCGATTGGATTAAATCTGTCATATATATTTGCTATTGCAGCTTTAGATTTTCCTTGATTTAAGAAATGCTGCAAAATCTGGTAGAGCTGCCGAAGTTTCAAATATATCTCTGGTAATTGAGTAAAAGCAACAGTCTTACACTATATGATATTTGGAAAGAAATGTAATATTTGTCTAAGTTAGTATCATTTGTGTTATGTTAATGCTAAAATGTTATTTTCCTAAACATGTCATGTTATACGTTATACCATGACAATGACATCACAAGGAACTTTTTTTAAATAGAAATGTCAAAATGGCATGATATTATTTCATTAATATTAACGTAAGACTTAGCTATGAAATCTTCACCCTTCAGGTTCACTAGTAGTGAATGTGTTTATTCTACCATTTAAGGTATTGTCATACTCACCAGGACGATGCGTTGGTACAGTTCTTCTTCTATTCACTATTGATCAAATAACATTTTTAAGTATTTTACAATAAATATATACAACAGATCGTGTACATGTATATAAAAATAAGAAGATGTTGTATGATTGCTAATGAGACAACTCTCCACAAGAGCCCAAATAACACAGAAATTAACAACTATAGGTCACCGTACGACTTAACAATGAGCAAAGCCCATACCGCATAGTCAGCTATAAAAGACCCGAAATGACAAAATGTAAAACAATTCAAATGGGAACTCTAACGGCCTAATGTATGTACAAAATGACGAAAACAAATATGTTACAAAGCAACAAACGACAATTATTGAATTACAGGCTCCTGACTTGGGACAGGCACATACAAAATGTGGCGGGGTTAAACTCGTTTGAAGGCACCAACCCTCTGGGACAGTGGTGTAGCAGGACAACATAAGAACAAACTATAAAAATCAGTTGAAAAAGGCTTTACTCATCAGATGGATACAATAAGAAATACATTTAACAAAAGCCGAGAGTAGACTTGGACGTGTACTTAAACATCCACACAACAGAAAGACATTAAGTACAGATTTGATAGTACTCGCAGTTACTGACAGCTTGTTTAACGCAAATAACAACTAATTCAAAAAATCATATATCTAAGACTAGATCTATTTATTTATACTATAAAAATGAACTTCAGCAAAGATATAAAGAAATATATGACAATAAAATATCATCTATTGACCAAAATAGCAAACTTCTTTATTAAACAGTCTATGGAACTAGGACAGGGGCAGTTGAGGTCATTTGGTGTGTTATGTGTTTAATATTTTGTTTTATTTTGATCTAAACGTAGATGTCATCATTAAATTGTTGCTTATACATGTAATTGTTATGCCTTTGACACTCTTATGGGTGTAGTTTGTGCTTAATAAAGTTATTTGTTATTTTCATTCCTATTTTGATTAAAATACAATGATACCGACAATATAAAGTGGTACATTGGAACATCAAAATTATATATATATATATAAATGAAAGCTTCTCCCTTCATACTAACTATTGATGAATGTGGAAACTTTTACGTTTTAAGTATTGGCACACTCACCAAAAGGAGGCATTTCTTCAGTTCTTCTTCCAATCACTATTTAGAAAAATAACATTAAACAGAATGAAAATAAAATTATTATCTACAACTGAACGTGTATATGATATTTAGAAAGAAATGTCTTATCAAAGTGTCTAAACATTTATTTATTTATTAATTTTTATGCCCCACCTAGGGGCATTATGTTTTCCGGTCCGTGCGTCCGTTCATTCGTTCGTCCGTTCGTTCGTTCGTTCGTTCGTCCGTATGTCCCACTTCAGGTTAAAGTTTTTGGTCAAGGTAGTTTTTGATAAAGTCCTTGAAACTTAGTACACATGTTCCATATGATGTGATCTTTCCAATTTTATTGCCAAAATAGAGTGTTGACCCCAATATCAAGGTCCGCTGAACATAGAATGTGATAGTGCGAGTGGGGCATCCGTTCACTATGGACAAATTTTTGTATTATTCTAGTTCAATTCAATATAAAATACAGGGACACAGAAAATATGAAATGGTTTATTGGAACATTAAAACATTATTGTTCGCTTTGGAGATTCCGTATATCGTCAAGTTATCGGAATTCCAATGGAGACTAACTGTGCCCCACTTATTGCGGACCTGTTTCTATATTGTTATGAGTTACAATTTATGACTAAATCAGCAAAGACCCATCGAAACAACATCTGATACAAAAATTTAATAACACTTTTAGATATCTGGATGATATATTGGCTCTCAATAATGACGACTTCAGTATGTACACTAAAGAGATTTATCCGGCTAAACTGACTTTAAATAAAGCTAATACTAACAATGAACACTGCCCTTTCCTGGATCTTGATATCTATATCTTTAACGGTTGCTTAATACCAAAATTTATGATAAAAGAGATGATTTTTTTCATTTCCTATTGTTAATTGTCCATTTTTAGATGGTGACGTTCCCTTGTCACCATCTTATGGTGTTTATGTATCACAACTTGTTCGATTCGCTCGTGTATGTAACAACGTATTTGATTTTAACGAAAGAAATCTGTGTATTACTGAAAAATAATTACATCAGGGTTTTCGATAACATAAACTAGTCAAAACGTTTACTAAATTTTATCATCGGTACAAGGACATCATTCGTAAATATAAATCAACATGCAGACATCTTATACGTTCAGGTATTTCACATCCAATATTTTATGGTAATATTCTTTACAAAGCACAAAAATGTCGGCATTCACCTCAAAAGCTAACCAAACCTTTAAACAGACTTATTCAGAAGGGATATAGTTACGATACTGTTGTCAGGTTATAAAGATGGCATATTTTGGTATTAATAATGATTCACTCATAGGGTCTTTGCATCGGAAATAAACAAATATATTCATGTGTTATGGCGCTAAACCTCTCACTTGTATGACAGTCGCATCAAATTCCATTATATTGACAACGATGCGTGAATAAAACAAACAGACATAATAGGTAAAAATGTCAAAATAGGGATACAGCAGTCAACACCGTGCCACAATCTTAATCACAACAAAAACAAACAAATATTTAACAAAGAAGCACAAGAAAGCATATATCACATAAACATGTTTAACCCGCCGCATTTTTGCGCCTGTCCCAAGTCAGGAGCCTCTGGTTTTTGTTAGTCTTGTGTGATTTTTAATCTTAGTTCATTTATATGTTTTTGAGTTTAGTATGACGTCCATTTTCACTGAACTAGTACACATTTTTGTTCAGGGGCCATCTGAAGCCCGCCTCCGGATGCTGGATTGTCACGCTGTGTTGAAGACCCATTGGTGGCCTTCGGTTGTTTTCTGCTCTTTGGTCGGGTTGTTGTCTCTTTGATACATTCCCCATTCCCATTCTAAATTTTATAATCTAATATATCAAAATAAAATCTTCTCCCTTCATGCTTACTATTGATGAATATGTTTACTTTTACGTTTAAAGTATTAGCATACTCACCAGGAGGAGGCGTTTTTACAGTTCCTCTTCCTATTCAAAACAAAAAAAAAACAAATTAATTATAAAGATAAGATTATTTTCTCCAACAGAACGTATATGTTGTCGAAACAATTATTTATTTATATATTTATTTATTATTTTCGTTCTAATCAGTTTAAAACAAAAAGCAACTTACAATATTAAGTGAAATATTTAAATATTTTGTTTTAAAAAAACACCTTCAATCGATAAAGAAATCATATGCATTCAACTAATGTACAACTATCATTTTTTTTTAAACTAAGTCATTGTTAGTATCTAAGCTAAATCAGTAAATGCATGGTGTTAAAATACCAAAGGAGTACGTGAGGTTAAATCGATCCCAAAATTATATCAATTATATCAGAGGTAAATTTTAAATAAATAAACTCATCATAGATACCAGGATTGAAATTTTGTATTTGCACCAGACGCGCGTTTCGTTGCATTATATTTGATGCATTATAATAAGCTAAAGGGAAATAAACCAACTTTTGTCGGCATTTCATTTAAATTATTGACATATAAAACCAAAATATAATAATAAAAATGGAGATTTGGTGAAGGTAGTCAAAATGTTCTTAATTTCAGCCACATGTAGGCGTATACAAAATATCACCACCCATTCTCGTGCAATACAATATTTATCAACTCTTGACAGTTCAATTTTAAATACGTAAAACGTTTGGTGAGCCTCGCGTTATAAATTTGAAATTTAACTATCTTGAGTGGATAAATATCGTATCACACTCGACGCAGTAGAGTAATCTATATACATATTCAAACTAAGTCATCACAATAACAAAACGAAATAATATTTCTGTACTAAGGTGATCAAATTATGTAATCCTATATAGTTGATAATACAATTATATAAAGTTTTACAGGTTATTTAATTTTACGAGTAAGAACTAATGGAAATTTTACACTTTTATAAGCAATGACCTTCATTTAAAAGATCTTTTGCTAACAATTGTCTTACACAAGTTGTTTTTACTGAGACATAAGTTTGGATAAGATTATTGCACATATCTAATATTGGATAATTATGACATTTTTGTACTAAAGTGATCAAATTAGGTCATCACATAAAGATAACAAAAAGATTAAATGAGTTTTAACAGGTTTCTTATTTCATATATGTTTTGGAATTCTCAGGGACCAGCAAGTATATATGATCGAAACGACCCTCCCTATCAAAATCACTAGTCATGAAAACATGTATTGATATACTCACCAGGACCACTGTAAAACGGAGAATCTGTTGTAATAAATATTGAACTAGTTAGTTCTTATACATAAAACATATATACCATAAACGCTTTATCAATTTTTTATATACTATCAAAATTAAAGGGTATTTTGTTTAATTTCATTACGGAACAATTGAATTTGAGCTATTATTTTTTTACGTCATTAAGAATACTCTTATTTGAAGTTCAGGGGCCTCATTTAAGCTTTTCCACTCATGAACAATTCCCTTTCCACACAGATGTTTTGATCAATGACTAATACAAGTTGCTATAAGTCAACATAAAATGGAAGCATACGCTATAAATTTATTACTTTGGGATACCATATGGCATATTTTGTTAATAGTGAACAAAAATGTAAAACATGCTACAAAGATGAACAAGTGATCAGTATGCTTCTTATTGACAACATATTTGTTGAATTATGAGGTAGAATTTTTCAACAAATTGCCGAGATTCCTATGGGAACGAACTGTCCGCCTCTTCTGCCGGCGTCTTCTTATTTTCATATTAGTCCGAGTTCCATCAGACACTTGTCAAAAACACGAAGACCAAAGAAGCCAGATCATTTAATTTCACATTCAGATATATTGATGATGTTCTTCCCATTAACAACCCAAACTATTCTGATTAGATTCCACTCATATAGCACCAAGAACTAGAAATTAAAGAAACAACAGACACAGCTTCATCTGCCTCATTTTAAGACTTATACCTCAAATTTGACATAGGCGGTCATCTGAGTACCAAAATCTATGACAAAGGAGACGATTTTGATTTTGAAATTATCAATTTCCCTCATCTTAGTAGCAATATACCAACTTCACTTGCATATGGGATATACATTTCTCAACTCATTCGGTATTCAAGAGCTTGCAACTGCTACTCAGACTTTGTAAAACGTCACCAGTGTCTGAGCAGAAAGTTGATGAACCAGGGTTATGTCAAAGAACGTCTCGTCCTTTTTCTAAAGAAGTTCATCGGAACATACCAAGACTTTGTTGATAAATATTCCGTATCAACTTCACAAATAATACACGTTGGTCTTGAAGTATAGATTTTAAGTACTGACATTGTTTATCATTTTAACTACGTGTTATAGTGATCTTTTATTTGTCTTTGTAAATTGTTACTTTTACTGTTTAGTATATTTTTGGTAATATTCATTTGACGTGGCTCGGTACTTATACTTCCCGTCATTGTGTTATTGTGCTATGGTAAAATTTTTGTATTCTTGTCCTTTGTATTGCTAATGTGCTTTGTCTATATGCCTTTTTGTTTTTCTTTGTTGATATGTTTGTTTGTATTTATAGTAATTAGGATTATAACACAATGTTGACTGCTGTACCTCTATTTTTGAAATTTTTACCTATTATGTCTGTTTGTTTTGTTCACACATCGTTGTTAATATGATGGAATTTTATGCGACTGTCATACAAGTGAAAGGTTTAGCTAGCTATAAAACCATGTTTAATCCACCATTTTCTACATAAGAAAATGTCTGTACCAAGTCAGGAATATGACAGTTGTTATCCATTCGTTTGATGTGTTAGAGCTTTTGATTTTGCCATTTGCTTAGGGACTTTCCGTTTAGAATTTTCCTCCGAGTTCGGTATTTTTGTTATTATACTTTTGACTGCTGTACCCCTATTTCTGACATTTTTACCTATTATGTCTGTTTGTTTTGTTTACACATTGTTGTCAATATAATAGAATTTTATGCGACTCTCATACAAGTGAGAGGTTTAGCTAGCTATAAAACAAGGTTCAATCCACCATTTTCTACATACAAAAATGTCTGTACCAAGTCAGTAATATGACAGTTGTTTTCCATTCGTTTAATTTATTTGAGCTTTTGATTTTGCCATTTGATTAGGGACCTTCTGTTTTGAATTTTCCTTGGAGTTCGGTATTTTTGTTATTTTACTTTTGACTTAATTATGAGTTCGGATAATTTTGTTTCTCTAATTCTTACCCGATTTATCCTTTCCTGACCTGTTGGATATTTTTATTTAATCAATGTGTGGTTCTTTTGATCTCATTCTCATTGGTCAATATTCGATTATGACGTCAAGTTTTCTTGCTTTTCTCTGACATTCCTACTGTGACGTCATGAAAATGGCGACTATGCCGGATGACATCACAACGAAAGAACACATCTTTTTGCAGATCATTCGAAAAGAAGAATTATGTGTGTCTGCACATTGTCCACAAATCATCAGATAAACATATTCAACCACCAATTCTCGTGCAATACGATATTTATCCACTCTCGACGGTTCAATTTTAAATATTTAAAACGCTCGAAGAGCCTCGCGTTATAAAATTGAAATTTAACTGTCTTGAGTGGATAAATATCGTATCACACTCGACGCAGTAGAGTAATCTATATACATATTCAAACTAAGTCATCATAATAACATAACAAAATAATATTTCTGTACTAAGGTGATCAAATATGTCATCCTATAAAGTTAATAATACAGTTATATAAAGTTTTACAGGTTATTTAATTTTACGAGTTTGACATTCTCTGACGCAAACACGGGGCTTTAATCGAACATCTCCTTTTTCCATAATCAATTACCATGCATATATTTTTGACATACTCACCAGGACCCCTGACCAAGTGATAATCTGTTGTATTAAAATATTAATCAAATTAGTTTATGTAAATAAAGAAATACTATATTTATAACACAACGGTTATTTTCTTTAAATGAAATAAAGATATCCTGTTTTCCTTTCGGGGTAATTATAATCTGTTTAATTATTTTGAAATTGTAGAGATACTTCTAATATTCTTTTATAAAATTGTGTGGTCTTATTGAAGATTTTCCCTTCCTCAACAGATGTTTTCAAAAACAATTGTTGTATATGAGTTTTTCGTGCTCAAGGGCCAACAAATGGATCTAATCGAACATCCCCACATTTCATAATATATAATCATGAGTACATGTATTGGTATACTCACCAGAATCACTGACCAATGGAGAACCTGTTGTAATAAATATTGAACAAATTAGTTCTTGTACATTGCAAATGATTATTTACAACAAACCGTAAATATAATGTTTTGATCACTATTTAAGTTTTAAACCAAACGACAACAGTGTATTTCGTCGAATGAAGTTTTCGTCAAAACATTTTGTCTGTTTTGCATTTTCAGGGGCCAACAAGTTGTTTGAGGGTCTAAATTACAGACGATAGAAATTTTGATCCTTTACCAGAAATGTAGTTAATATCACTCAATTGTCAATATTACAATAAAAATATAGGTCACAGAGCTTTTTGTCAATCTACAGGTTGTGCACAATCGTCATATTTTGAAACGATAAAACAAGGAAAAATCATTTTTTATTGTGTGAACAGAAAGGATACTGGATAATAGTATATTGAAATAAATAACGAGAAGATGTCTATTTTAATGTTCTGTCAAGATGTAAAGTGACAGTTTGGGGTCAAGGATCTTTTTTTCTTGTTCCAAATAAAAATAGGCTAATTTTATGCGCATTCCTTTATAAAATAAGATCATCTGAGTCATCTCCCAGGACAAAAAAGTAAAAATTATAAAAATACCGAACTCCAAGGAAAATTCAAATCGGCAAAATCAAAAACCTCAAAAAAATCAAACGAATGGAAAACAACTTTCATATCCCTGAATTGGTACAGGCATTACCATATGTAGAAAATTGTTGAATAAACCTGGTTTTATAGCTAGCTAAACCTCTCACTTGTATGACAGTCGGATAAAATTACA